AATTGCTTGTGCCCACTAACCTAGTGTAAAATAAAGTCAAGTAACACAATCTTAAAAAAATTAAATAAAAATAAAATGAATGGTTCTGAACTTTCAGAAGCAGATCACCAGACCTTTCTTCTGAGATGCCCCTGGGTGTGCTTGAACTGACAACCTTTCGGTTAGTTGATGATTCCTTACCCATTTGCAACACCAATAGCTTGCCTAGACTGACTTTTCTGTGCCCTGTGTCTGCATGTTCACAGTGTGGGTGCAACTGGGACATAGGATCAGAGGTTGCTGTGGTTGACACTGGGTCCCTCAGCATCCCTGGCCAGAAGAGGACTTAACCAGGAGGCTGGATAGAGCCCTGGTTCAGGAACAAGCTCTCTGAAAAAGAGGATACCAATTTACCAAGGGTGGTAAACAAATAAAACCAGGCCTGGTGTGCTGTGCCAAGACTGACAAGAGAAAACCTCCATGTGCTGATAATCTCATGGTGGGCTGCTGGAGTTCATGCAACACTGACCTTGGACCAAGTCATTTCCAAATCCCCCTAGGCTGGTAACAGCCAAGAAGCGACTTTCTCCAGGGAAGGCACACAGATGTAACCTCTGGGAGAGGAGAGGGTCAGACATTCTCAACAGCCCTCTTTAGAGGCTCTGGGGGAGATACATGCACAACGAAGTGTACGAATGCTGGCAGGAGAAAGAAGGAGGCTCTCACACCCACCTGCTGATGTTCCCCTCTGCTAGGAACCTGGACCAGTGTGCCAACCATACAGGTGATGAGAGCTGAGAGCAAGTGCCAGCTGTCCCCAGCAGGGACCCTGTCTCCTTGGCTATGCAGGGCAGTGTGGGCCATGAAAATCAAGTAGAGCTGCCCAGTCCAGTTTAGGACAAAGCGGTCTGCATAGCAGCAGTCACTTGAGGGCAGGCCCAGGTTCCAAGTGGGCGCTGCTGTCATGGCCACAGATGTTATGAATGAAGTCTGGATCTAGGCATGAGGCAAAAGACGGAGACGATTTCTTCCGCATGGTTGGGACTGAAGAGCTGCTCCCACCCTGTCTGCCCTTAGAAAGCTGAGGCTATGAATAAGTTTGGAAATCATTTAAGTAAACTCAGGGGGCTAGGTCTGTGAGTGGGAATTAAGGATTTCAGGTGGTAAAGTACCATGGAGTCAGTTCCGACTCATAGCGACCCTGTACTGGGTTTCCGAGACTGTAAATCTTTAAAGGAACAGAAAGCCTCATCTTTCTCCCGCAGAACCGCTGGTAGTTTCGAACTGCTGACGCTGAGGTTAGCAGCCCAATTCGTAACCATTACGCTATCAGAGCTCCTTATGGATTTCTAGCACACCATATTTTGTCTCATGTATTTAAGACATGTTATCAGGAGGGATCAGTTCCTGGAGAGAGGCATCATACTTGGAAGAGGATTGACACAGTAGTTGCCAAACATAGGAAAGACTGTGAGGATGGCAAAGAACTCGTAGTGTTGTGTTCTGTTCTCCATGGGTTTGCTATGAGTTGGTGCTCAGCGGCACCTAACAACAACATGAACAAGAACAAAACAACAATCATTGAGACAAAGGTCGCTAGGTGGGGCAAATAAATGGTTTTCACCTGGCTGCTAACTAAAAGGTTGGAGGTTCAAATCTACCCAACAGTACTTTGAAAGAAAGGCCTGGTAATCAGTTTTCGAAAAGTAAAAGCCATTGAGAACCTTGTGGAGCACAGTTCTACTTCAGCACACATGGGGTTTCCATGGGTTGAAGTCAGTTTGATGGTGACTAGAAATCAGTGATGCAAGGGCTCTCTGGCTGCTGGCTCGTGACTCTAGCAAGCCAACACACAGCGCTGAGTCCGCTTCTCAGGTAAGCTTCTACCTTTCTCCCAAAGTGAGAGTCAGTCCTACTTTACTTATTTCTTTATTTAAGATCCTTCTGGTGTGATGGGGTGGAGCATAGCCTAGTGGGCTAGGACTCCAGGGAAGGGGTGGATATGATGTTGTTTTGGGAGAAGATGGCTCCTGAGCTGAAACAGAGGATATGAAGGTCTTGGGTGGGGCAGGGGCATTCTAGGCCACCTAGGGAACAGGAGCTGGGGCACATAGGTATATGACAGGAAGGTGGTGTACAGAGGGCAGGCGCAACAAAGGTGTTAGGATGAAGGTGCTGGGCTAAGGTAGGTGTGCAGAGTAACTGAGGTGTTCAGGGAATCTTCTGGAAGCAGAACGTGAGGTGTTGAGGAGCCAAGACTTTAGAGTACAGCAGTTCAGATTCAGGACTCAGAGCAGAGTTGTGTTCCACTGGTTTTCAATTTGATTTTTCAGAAGCAGATCACCAGACCTTTCCTCTTAGGTGCCTCTGGGTGGACTTAAACCGCTAACTTTTTGGTCAACAGTCCAGCACATTAATCATTTGCACCACACAGGGAATCATAATCAAAAAGACCAAGAAAGTGCACATCAGCTAGGGGCTTAGAGGAGGGGATAAAGAAGGGAAGGGAATGAAGATAATACACAGCACGTTAGAACACTCCCTCAAAGCAGGGATGAGGAAGAGGACCCAGTGTGTCTTTCTAAGTAAACCCAAACACCACACTGATGCTGTGCAATCTACAGTGACCATGGTTACCTCATGTGTATCAAAGCAGTCGTGGAACTCCACAGAATTCAATGGTTATGTATGTACATGCACACACATTGAACTTTTCCTAATGTCCTTTTCAGCACTGTTGTTTTTGGTATAGAGGAATCCAACTGATTTTTGTATGTTGAGCTTATATCCTGCCACTTTGCTGAATCTTCTAATGAGGTCTAGTAGCTCTTTTTTACTGCGTCTTTGGATTTTCTATGTATAGGATCATATCGTCTGCAAATAGAGTTTTATTTCCTCTTTGCCAATTTGGATGCCTTTAACTTCCCTATCTTGCTATATAGCTCTGGCTAAGACTTCCAGCATAATATTGAATAGGAGAGATGACAAAGGGCATCCTTGTCTGGTTTCTGTTCACAGAGGGAAGGCTTTCAATTTTTCCCCATTAAAAGAAATGTAGGCTGTTGGTTTTGTATATATGCTCTTAATTATGTTGTGGAATTTCCCTTCAATTCCTACTTTGTTGAGTGTTTTTATCAGGAATGGATGTTGGATTTTGTCAAATGTCTTTTCTGCATCAATCGATATGATCATGTGGTTCTTTTGTTTTTTCTTATTTATATGGTGGATAACGTTGATCATTTTTCTAATGTTGAACCATCCTTGCATCCCTAATATGAATCCCACTTGATCATGATGTATCATCTTTTTGATGTGTTGCTCGATTCTGTTGAGAATTTTTACATTTATGTTTATGAGGGATATTGGTCTATAATTTTCTTTCTTAGTGATGTCCTTCCCTAGTTTTGATATTAGGGTCATCATGCATCATCAACCAACATTGTATACACTACAAGCTTGCCCCCCAGTCGTCAGCACACAGCCCCTTTCCCTTTCTGTGTCTAAAGTCCTCAGCTGCTCCATCTCTCCATGTCATTGTCTCTGCCTCCGTCTCAGGCATCACTGCTTCTCTGTGTAGGGTCCTGCTCTCTGCTCTTCTCCCTTGATGGTCCCAGGGATCTCTGCTCCTAGACTGAAAAGTTAATCACTCCCCTCCTTGCTACAAAACGTCTACCTTTACATTTCCAACCCTCACAATCAGTCCTGATAACAATTACTCACTATTGTATCACAAGAGACTTATCATATAGTGAGGGTGTGACAGGGGAGAAGAGGAAAGAAAAGTGTAAAATCCATCCCACTTCTTTTCTCAGATGCCGCTCTGTAGTTTTTAGTGCTGTATCACTGTATCAGCCTGGCTGTGGCCCTGCCCTCTGATCTCAGCCAGGCCAAGGGACCACAGGGCCAACCCGATCAATTCAGAAATTGCCGTTTTTTCCTTCGACAGTCAGATTTCTCCACCAGTGGGTGCAGGAAACTGACACCCTGTACCTTATACTAGATCCAAAACCCTGGAGCTGCTCCAGGAAAGCGCCTTCTGTGGTTTGTCTGTGCCTCCTCCGAGAATCCTGTCCTACCTGTCTCTGCTTCTCCCGCCCGCAAACCAGAAGTCCACATTGAACTTTTTATTGTGAATTTGTGAGTTGAGTGAAGTTTTACATAGCACATCCTCAGTTATATATTCAACAAATCATACACTTCATTTCACTTCAATAACTGTAATTTCCTTAATCTCCTAAACTTAATATCACTTACCCCTACTTCTTCCCTATTTTTTTGTTTCTATTCCTCCTTCTTTCCCAGTCCTTCTCAATTTTGTCCTTGAGTAAATGGTTGACCATTCTATAACATCCCCTATGTACCTATCTACTGCTTGGCTGAAAATTGAGCCATGGGGGCCTGTCTTATTGGTGACTTTGAGTTTTGTTCCACATTTTCTCTCACTCTGTCCAGGACCTTTTAGAAGTTGGTAGTGGTAGCCAATAGTTATATTTTACGTAAGAAGATTGCTAAGCCTTTCTTCTGTGGCTCTGCTGGGTGGAGTGGAACTGCCAATTTCTCAGTTTGTAGCCAACTGCAAACCCTTTGAGCCACCCAGAGATTTTCACCATGTAAGTTACTGTCCAAATGGTACACTCGAGAATGAGAAAAGGTGCTATTCAGTCTTTCTCTAGGACAGCACAGAATGAGGGTCACCTTATTTGATGGGGAATGTAGGCCTGGAGGGGATTCCTCCTTCATGATGGGTAAACACCTTCCACCTCTTGAGAACATACCTTACAGCTGTAAGAAAGCTCACTGCCCTGGATGCAGTGTCCACAGATGGGACATGCTTCTTTCTTGGACAACCCGAGGGGCAGCAGACTTGGCCCAGCCCAGCCTGTCCACCTCACACAGGGCCCCTGGATCTGTGCCCTCCTGGTGGCAAAGGTGAGTGTGGGACAAGAACTTCCACAAAGACAGACAGAGACTACAGAGGTGGCCAGGTGACCATGGGGGCTGGGGACAGAAGCAGGACTTACCCGTGCACGCTGTGGACAGACTGCGGCTCATAGTGATACCGTCCCTCCTGATGTCGAATGTCCATCGGTAAGGGAGCATGGTACGCAGGCAGGAGGTGCTGTGGCACTGCGGGGGGAGACAGAGATAGGACTTCAGAAACGTGTCCCCTTGCTCAGATCAAGTTCCAAAGGGCTGTAATGTTTGGGGAATTTCAGAGCCGGAGCAGCCCAGGACAGAGCTTCGAGGTACCAGCACAATCACACAACCACAGAGGGGATAAATAAAAAAATCCAAGTCGTCCCAAGAAACCCTACATCTTCCACATAAAATCCTCAACTGCGCTCTTGACAAACACAAACAGCGTAGCACTCTTTGAACTCCTGGAGATTATAGGTAGGGTGGGGAGACCACACTCGCATGCAAAGCCCAGATGACAGAATTAACAGGCTGTGACCTCATCCGCCTGGTGACCAGCCGAGTCTCCGCTGTGAGGGAAATCACCAGCACCAGATCACAGCATCTGGAGGCGGCTGAAAACATTTACCCAGAACCACCAGTGAAGGCATCACAGGCTCCGGCAGCTGCAGCCCGCTCCGAGAAGCCCAAGTCAGACCAGGCTGCCTGCCCCATCTTGTCAAACCTCTATAGAACTGTGAATTCTCCAGTTCTTATTAGTTACTGACCTCAAGTGCACTGGAGGTACCCATGATGACAAGCAAGCACGTGACTGACTGTTTCCAGAGTTGAGCCAGCCTACTATCTGCACTTGGCCTGCCCTCGACAAATCATCATGATAATTGTAGGATACTCTTTGCTTACTGAAAAAACATCCCTGGGTACCCTAGAGGCAAACATAATTATAGGCTTTAGGAGAACAAGGCTCTTTAAAAAATAGACTGAGAAGAGGGTTTAGAAGTGGAGCTTTCTCAGTCAACTCTCAGTCCGGCTACCAGCCACAGGCCAGTGGGAATCAGTGTTTAGTCTGAACTTCTGAATATTTGAAAGGCAGATGGTTTGCTTGACATACAAATAGGTCAGCTGATTTCCCAGTCTACTGTAATGAAAACATAATAAGAACACTGTTTCTACAAACATTAGGGTTTCCCTCTCCCCTTCCACATCTGAAATCAGTTGGCCATAGGTGACTGGGTTTAATTCTGAGTCCATTGCTGTTGTGCTGTGAAGTGTGAGACCTCCTACTTTGTTCTTTTTCTTCACTATTGCTTTGCCTTTTCATGGCTTCTTTCCTTTCCGTACGAAGTTGGTTATTAGTGTTTCCATTGCAATAAAGAATGTTGTTGGGATTTGTAACAGGATTGCATTGCACCTGTAGATCACATTAGATATAATTAACATTTTCACTCTATTCAGTCTTCAACTCCATGAGCATGGGATGTCTTATTTCTGTAGGTTCTTTGGAGTGTTTGGTGCCGTCAAGTTGGTTCCTCTGCACTACAGAACAGAACAAATGGTTCTACTGCATCCTCACAACTGTTACATTAGAGCCCATTGTTGCTGCCACTATGTCAATTCAGTTCACTGGGGAGGGGTGTCTTCCTCTTTTACCCTGACCCTCAAGTTTACCAAGAGGATGCTTTTCTCCAGGTCCCTCCTGAAACCATGTAAAAAGTATGAGAGATGAAGTCTTGGTATCCTGGCTTCTAAGGAGCATTCTGGCTGCATTTGATCCAACATAGCTTTGTTTGTTCTTCTGGCAATCCATGATACTATTAATATTCTGCTTCACCACCATAATTCAAATGCTTTGATTCTTCTCTGTTTTTTCTTATTCGTTGTTCAACTTTCACATTTGTTGAGAAGATAAAGTCAAGTATTATCATGAAATGTGCAAAGACCGGGAGTTAGAAAACCAAAAGGGAAGAATATGCGGAGTATTTCTCAGGATAAAAGAACTGAAGAAAAAAATCCAAGCCTCGACTTGCAATATTGAAGAATTCTATGGGCAAAATATTGAATGATGCAGAAAGCATTAAAAAAAATAATAAAAAATGGGAGAAATACACAGAGTCATTGTACCAAAAAGAAATAATTGATACTCAACCATTTTAAGATATAGCATATGATCGAGAACCAACAGTACCAAAGGAAGAAGTCTGAACTGCACTGAAGGCATTGGTGAAAAGAAAAAGGCTACAGGAATTGAAAGAATATAAGCTGAAATGTCTCTTGGAGTAGTGTTTTATAATTTTCATTGTGTAAGTCTTTTACAAGCTATTTTTATCCATTCAGGGGGGCTATTATAAATGGTATTATTTTCTTCATTTCTTTTTCAGATTAGTCTTTGTTAGTGTAGAACAGGAATGGGAACTCTTTCTTTTGCCAAGGGCAGAATATTTATAACACCATTTGTGCACCATACAAAATTATCATCTTAAAAATTAACCTGCTATATTGGACAAACATTTCATTAACTCACCCCTAATGTGATGGTTGGGACTGTGGTTGTCTTGGCAGGGCCAGACCAAATGATTCTATGGGCCTTATAGGGCTGGACATTCCCCACCTCTGGTGTGGTGGAACTCAATTGATTTTAACTTGTTATCTTGTACCTTGCATTGTTACGGAATTCTTCTGTTGGTCCCAGCAGTCTTCTGGTGGGATTTTGTACGTAAAGGACCATACTATCTGCAAACAGAGATAATTTTACTTCTTTCTTTCCCATCTGGAAACTTTGTATTTCTCTTTCCTGTTTTAGTGCTCTGGCTCCACTTTCCAGTATAATGTTGATTAAGTGTGGTGATGATGGGTATCTTTGTCCTCAAAGGAAGCTGTCAGCCTTTCTTTGTTGAGAGTGATGTTGGCTGTTGGTTTTGCATGTATACTCTTAATTATGTTGAGAAATTACCCTGCTATTCTATTTTGCTGAGAGTTTTTATCAGGAAAGAGTGTTAAATTTTTATTGAATGACCTTTCTGCATCATATGATATGGTCATATGGTTCTTTTTCTTTGTTTTATTTATGTGGTGGATTTCATTGATGAATTTTCGAATGTTGAACCACTTTGTAATCCTTGTCTGAATCCCATTTGATCACGTTGTATGATTTTTTTTTTTCCGGACACATTGCTGAAGTTTGTTGGCTAGAATCTGATTAAAAATGTCTGCATCTAAGTTCATAAGGAATGTTACTGTTGTTGTGTGCTGTCAAGTCGGTTCTGACCCATAGTGACCCTGTATAGGGTTTCCAAGGAGTGACTGATGAGATTGAACTGCTGACTTTGCAGTCCAGTGCATTAACTCACAGTGCCACAACCCACAGTGCCACACTGGGACTCCATAAGGGATACTGGTCTGTAATGGTTCTTTTTTTTTTTTTTAATGTTTGATTGTGAATTATATGATAGTTTACATGAGAGAACATCAGTTCCATATTCATTCCATCGTATATCATTACATTGCCATGGTGGCAATCCCCTCCATGCCCCTCGTCTTCCGACCAAAGGGCATATCCTAGAAACCCGTGCTCTACACATTCCCTTCCCCCCTCAGTCTTTGGCCCAGAGTTTCTCTCCCTCTCTGGATCCAAAGTCCCCAGCCGCTTCATCCCTCCTTGTCATCATCTCTGTCTCCATCTCAGGAATCCACAGTTCTCTGGTGGTCCCAGAGACCTCCGCTCCTAGACTGGAGAAATAATCGCTATCTTCCTTGCTACAAAATATCTAACCTTGCATTTCCAACACTCACAATCCGTCTTGATAACCATTATTCACTACAGTATCGCATGTTATCCATCTGCATTTCATTTCATCAGCTCCACCTAGACAAATTGCATAGTACTCACTGGTGATTCTGCCTTCCTCCATGCCCCCTAGCTCTAGGTTCCCTCTTGAAGGCTTGTAAGCCAGTTACTTCTTGCCTTTGTAGTCCCTCCCTCCCCATTTGGGTATCCAATGTCCAAGTTGCCCCACTATGTCTACTCTGTGTGTGGAGGGGGTGGGAATGTTTCTTGCTGTAAGGATTTATCGCCTCTTTTGTGTCACTGCATTCGTATGCATAGGTCAAGTTCATCAGCTTGGATCAGCTCAATCTTCTCCCCCCCCTCCATATTCAATTTGATTTTTATAATTCCACAATACTTGCACCTTCCATGGAGAGTAGGAAAAGAAAACAAAAATTTTAACCCTGATTAAATCGATTTGCCAAACCCCAAACCAAAAACCCATCGTCACCAAGTCAATTATAATGCACAGAGACTCTATGTTGTTATTGTTGTTGCTATGAAATGCCGTAGAGTTGGTTTTGACTCACAGCAGCCCTGTATAGGGTTTCCTGGGAGCAGCTGGTAGGTTTGAACCGCCAATCTTTCTGCTTATCCTATAGTGCCACACCAAGACTCCTAGTGCCCCAGTGTTGTTGTTACATGCCGTTGAGTTGGTTTCAACTCTTAACAATCCTGTGCAAGGTTTCTGAGGATTGGTTGGTGGGTTTGAAATGCTGACTTTGTGATTAGCAGTCCAGTGCTTACCCTCTAGCATTATACCAGAACTCCAGAGACCCTACATTGTTGTTGTTGTTGTTAAGTGCCATTGAGTTGGTTTCAATTCAGACCGACCCTGTATAGGGTTTCAAAGGAGCAACTTGATGGGTCTGAACCACCAATCTTGAGGTTAGCAGTCCAGTGCTTATCCAACAGCACCACAGACGAGTAAATTCCCCAAGCTGTAATCTTTACTGAAGCAAATAAGCTGCCACATCTGTCTCCCACAGAGATGTTGGTGGGTTCGAACCACCAAACTTTCAAGTACTAGTCAACTGTTTAGCTACTGTGCCACCAGAACTCCTCAGTTTGAATTGTCCAATCTCAGATTCAAAGAGGAAATGGCTGCAGACAGGACATCAGTTAACTTCTTCTGTCCCTCTAGAGCCCTGGAGCAGAAATCCCCTACAGTGATTGGTTATCTAGGGCTGCAGTAACAGAAGTATTCCAACATGATGGTTTTAACAAACAGACATGCATTCTCTTACAGTTTAGGAGACTAGAAATCAGAACCTAAAAGTTCAACTCTAGGTGAAGGCTTTTTCTCTCTTTGTTGGCTCTGGAGGAAGGTCCTTGACTCCGTTCAGACTTCACAGGCCCAGTGTTCCTTGGAGAGCTCCGAGTGTCT